GATCATGTGCCAGCCCCAGAGCTCGCCCCAGTGCCGGCTCCAGCCCCAGAGCTCGCCCCAGTGCCGGCTCCAGCCCCAGAGCTCGCCCCCGTGTTGGCTCCAGCCCCAAAACTCATACCAGTCCCAGCTCCTCGAATGCACTTCGCTGTGCCTGCTCCGCCAGGGCGCCCTCCAGTGCCAGCACCACGTAAGCGCTACCCTGTTCCCCAGTTCAGCCCAGGAAGGGCTCCTGATTCCCAGTTCAGCCCAGGAAAGGCTCCTGTTCCCCATTTCAGCCCAGGGAGGGCTCCTGATCCCCAGTTAGGCCCAGGGAGGGCTCCTGATAGGGCTCCAGATTCCCCGTTAGGCCCAGGGAGGGCTCCAGGCCCCGAATACAGCCCCGTAGATTTCCCCACGGATTTTTTTTGGGGGGGGGTAGTATGACTCCAGCCGTAGGGGCCCCGGAGTCCCCAGATACGCCATGGCCTCCCGATTCCCCTGCTCCGCCATGGCCTTGGCCTCCCGATTACGCTGCTCCGCCTTGGCCTTGGCCTCCCGAGTCCCCTGCTCCGCCTTGGTCTCCCTTGGTTCCTGAAAATAAAGTCTTGGTAAAGTATTCTCCAGCGTCTCCTCGTTCCTCGTGTGTGTGCATCGTGACAGTTGGTGTTAGATTGTATAATGTTTATGTAGTACACATTTCTTGAATGTATATAAAGTAGTTTTATTTAAGGGAAAAAAAGGAGGGGACGGAGAGAAGGAAAAAAATAACACAAAATAAATTAAGATAAAGAGAAAGAAAGAAAATAATATTGAAAATAATTCCAATAATCACAATTTAATTAAGCAAATAAATAGATTATAAATTAAAGGAAAAGGGGGGAGGGAGAGAAGAAAGGGAAAAAATAATAACATAAAATAAATTAACAAGATAAAGAGAAATTAAAGAAAATAATATTGAAAAACAACATTTCAAAAACGTTGATTTAAAAAAAACAAAAACAAGATGAATGTCCAAACAGCAAACGCACCTGAAATGTTCCCAAGTCCAGAAACATAGCAAGGACATCAGTAAAATAATCCATGTGACATCAGTGGTTCAACTGCAATTATATGAAGCTACGAGAATACTTTTTGTGCACAAAAGAAAAAAAAATGACTTTATTCAGCAAATCATCTCCTCCGAATCACCCTGTAAACAGCGTATGCTGTTCTGTGTCAGCTGCGTCACGCCGGATCTGTTTCCTACGTTATTGTGATTTAATCTGAACGGAAACAGTGTATCCGTGTGACATTTCAGTTGTGTTGCTGTCTATGGGAGGGTCGGACAGCTCTCAGATTCCATCAAAAATATCTTCATTTGTGTTCCGAAGATGAACGAAGGTCTTACAGGTTTGAAACGACATGCGGGTGAGTAATTAATGACAGAATTTTAATTTTTGGGTGAACTATCCCTTTAAGAAAATTAAGCAGTTAAGAAGTTTGTTTGTTTGTTTGTTTGTTTGTTTGTTTGCATGTTTGTTTTGAGAATCCGGCCCCAGGTAATTTTGAACAAACGTTCTATTAATGTAACTGGAAGAACGTTTGTTCATAACGTTGATATAACATTGTCAGAACATTCAGAGAACGTTCAAAAGTAACGTTACCATAATGTTTGCATAATGGTAAAACGGAACTTTCCTTTAATGTTTACTCTAAAATTTGCATAGGCAAGAAAAAATTTTTAAAAAATTCTGAACATTCAGTGAAAATTCAGAAATAATGTTTTCATAATATAATAGGAATGCAAAGCATTCTTAGAACATATTTGAATCACAAGTAAGCTTGCCAAATTCGCCATACTTCATGGTTAAGCTTGGTGAAACATACAGTGGGAAATCCTTAATTAATAGTACTATATCTTTAATAATGCAGTATTTCACTCATTGTGTGCAATGCATGACTATTGTAGTTCTATGTGTATCAGCGCTTCAGCAGGGCCGCATGCTAATGTCTGAATCCTCTGGAGAGTCTCTTTTGGTTTGGTGCATGAGTGAGCGTTACTGAAGCTGCTGCTGAAGAGCGTCTCAAATCAAACACAATCAGGCTCCATTTCCATTAGGATGCTGTTTGTGGAGCACTGCCAGTGTAGAGATTAGACCGAGAGTCAGATCTCTGCGGTCGGAGACACAGCCACTGTGTTTTCTGTCCAGAATGACCAGGATCAAACATTGATGATACTGTCAGGGTGTTTTATCCTATTTTGGCAACATTCAGCGGTCAGCAACACAAGTTTCCTCCAGAAGAACTTTGCGTTTGGTGAAGGTTATGCTAATGTTTGGCCTGTTTAAACTTACTCGTGTCTCTCTTTAGTCTGTTTTTCCGAGTTGAATGAGAAAAACAGACACTAGTTTGGTGTAAAAGCCGGTCAAAGCCAGAGTTTTACTGACCTGGTGTCAGTGTTGACAGCTCTGTATGTAAAGCCACAGTCAAACTAATGATAAGACTATAACTGTCAGGAAAAATAGCATTTCAGTACAATGCAGGATATGACTTGTAAAAATGGGGCTGTTCCCAATTTTATCCGAGAAATGAGGTCAACTCCTTGGATTTCTTTTTGTCACGATGAAAGTCAGACAGCAACTGTTTAACAGGACTGTATTATATATTATAAGGCCAAATTGGGCAAACTACTCAACTTCTTTTTGTCAGATTTCACTATATCATTTACTTGATTCATGTAACATAATAATAATAATAATAATAATAATAATAATAATAAATATTAATTCAAATTTAGATATTAATTTAAAAAATAATTAATTAAATTAAAATAATAAAAAAAAACTAAAACTTGTTTATAAATGTCAGTCTAACTAAATATGAACTATTATTAAATATACTACTACTACTAATAATAATAATAATAATAATAATATACAAATTAATATAAATTAATGTTGATTTTAATAAAAAATTATTAAAATTAAAATGTTTAAATATTAATATATTTAATAATTAAAATACAATAATTTGTTATTGACATGATTCATGCAATATAAGACCTAGTTGAATAATTGTTATTATAGTTAACTAAAAATAAAACCTTGAAAAATTCTGTTACTTGAAATAAAAATTAGCATTAACTGAAAATAAAATAAAATTAAATAAAATAAAACTTATTTTTGTCCACTTATCAACTGATTGCTAAGGCAACATTTTTCACTTTCATTTAGTTTAACCTGTTAAAAACATCAAAACAAAACAAAAAAAGCTTGAAACTAAAAAGAAATAAAGAAAATACTAATGTTTTAACTAAAATTAAAATGAAACCGGAAAATATAAAAAATAAAAGCTAATTCAATATATTAATAAAAACTATAATAGTGTCAATAAAACTAAAATATTAAGTATGATGAGACAAGAAATGTTACGGGAGCCATTAATCATAACATTAAGAGTGAATGTGTGCACTTTCAATAAACTAAAAATGTCACTTGAAAGAGTTAACATGCACTAAGCCTACTCTTTCTTTTTCTTATTCATTTAAATCCTTTCTTTCATTTTTTTATAAATAAAAACAAGTTCATTGTATTCAAAATAGGTTTGACCCACAATGTTGACAAGAGTGTGGATGGAAACGCTCTCTGAGCTGAGTCCTGATGAGACTGAATCCAGTGTGTGTTTGATCTGCTTGTAGTTGAAGTGCTTTGCTTCTGTTGGCCCGCTGCTGTCTGGGTCTGGTGCTGGAGAACCCCGGCGGACGGATCAGAGCAGCCTGGTGGCAGGTAAACACACATGTTTTGGCAGTTCATATGTACTGCTCTCTCTTCTTGCTTCTGTTCCTTCCGTTCTTCTTTTTTCTCCTCTGACAGTGGTTTTAAAGCTCCACGATGATCACAAACAGTGTCTCAAAGCCTGGTGAGCGTCCTACTGCCATTCATTGTGCAGATCGGGTAACGGTGGAAAAAACGCCCCCAAAATTAGTGCAGAAAGCAGTTTGCAATTACCTGATCGAGTCAGATACGCCTACCATGACCTTCAGCGATTCAATTAATGGGAACCCACTTTAATATTCACATAAGTTCAATGAAAATATCATAAGGTAATACTTAAATGTAATAATTAATATTTAGTACATATATATATATATATGGACTCGTATTTTAGCCGGAAGCAACGGTTTGAAATTAAAAACGTCTTAATGCTGGATTTGTTTCAGCTTTTGTCTTCTCCAGATGTGAACTGATGGACTGGAGTGCTGTGGATTACTTGTGGATTATTGTGATGTTTTTATCAGCTCTCATTCTGACGGCACCCATTCACTGCAGAGACACTGATGCAATGCTACATTTCTCTAAATCTGAGGAAGGAACAAACTCATCTCGTTTTTTAATGCAATCTAGTTTAGTAGCAGTGTTCGCTGCACATGAAGGGCTTCAGACACGTAAGATTCCCTACTTTAGTAGGTTTGAGACATGATAAATGTGTTTTCCTGATAGCTGCTTGATACTAATGTCTTGTTAAGTCTGATCGTTTCTGTCCTCCGTTGTTCTGCGGCTAATAGCCTGCTACATTCACACGAGAATAGAAGAGCTGATAAATTCTTCGGTTTCTGAGAGTTAGAAAAATCAATGTCTTCACACACAAAATCCCCGTGAGTTCTGCTCGCCGCGTCTCTAGAAAGCGAACCGTGTCAGAGTTCAGCCCGAGCAAATCAAATAGAGATCTGGAGAACAGAGGCCGGTGAATCGGCCGAGGAGAGAGAAGGTCACCGGAAGGTTGCTGTGCTGATTACTGGAATGTCATTCAGTGTCAGTCATTAAGTCTAATAAATGAACTGTGTCTGACGTACCTAATTACCTGATGATCCTCCAGCAAAGGTGCTGCACTGCGGTCCAGTTACATTCACAAGAGGAATCTTTTTATTGGAGCTTCAACTAAACTGTATTTAAATATGCAGATTATTCTTTCATAAGTGTAATATTTATAATACAGAAAAATAGACTGTTTTTTTTTTTTTTAGATGCATGCAATCATTTAAATTCAAGCATCTGATGACGGTTGCGTGACCGAAGCATTTCGATTAATATTGGATTTTTGCACGGTACAGCAGTGTGAAGGATTCTTCTTTCATTATTCTATTAAGTGGAATATTTATGAAATAATGCAGTAATTAAAAATAAAGAAAAGGCAAAAAATTGTATTTATTGAAACAGTAATTTAGAAAAAAAATAGTAATTTCAGTCTTACTAAATATTAAGTATTATTAAATATATTAATAATTGTAGTAGTATTAGTGTTAAAAGTGTTATATTATTAATATAACTTAAAAAAAAAAAATAATATTACTTAATTTAATAATTAGTAAAATAACATTATAATGTGATTTATGTAATGTAATTCCTAGTTGAATCAGGGTTATTATAGTTCAACAAAAACTAAAACCATAAAAACATTTTATTACTTGATACGAAATAAATGTTAATTGAAGTCAAATGCAGAAAAACTCAAACTTATTTTATCAATTTCAGTCTAGCTAAAAATTAAGTGTTATTAAATATAATAATAATGATGATAATAATAATAAAAATATTAATGAATATTAATTAAAATTAAACATTGAAATATTAATTCATTTGATAATTAATCAAATAAAAATATAATATTTTATGTTATTTACATGATTCATGTAATGTGACTCCTGGTTGAATCAGGGTGATCATAGTTGAACTAAAACTAAAACCATAAAAAATATTACTTGAAACAAATATGTTTAAATATAAACCCGTTAAAAAAAATTTTTTTATATATATATATATACACACACACACACACACACACAACTTATTTTCATAAATTTCAGTCTAACTAACTATGAGGTATTAAATATATCAAATATTAAATCTAAATATTCTAAACAAACTTTAATTTCTATTTCATATCTACAGAGATTCTGACGTGATTAGTGTTTCGTTGAACTTACAGGTGTGTGATTATTATAGGTATACGTTCACACCGAATGAATCTCTGAAGGTCATGAAGTCGCTGGCAGGCGTATGTGACTCGGTCAGGTAATTGCTAATTGAATTCTGCACTAATTTGGGGCCGTTTTTCCACCGTTACCTGATTCGCACAATTCTATTCAGTCAAGCACCATCAGTGAACACAATTCATTCTTACCCAATTCCCCTCTGTGTTTATTAACAGTATTGTTTTGAAAGGCTGTACACATTAATTATCATAGCTCATGTGCATGTGTGAGTATCTGGAGGCTTTATTTGGGTGCTCTGATGTTTAGATGTCAGATGCAGGAGGCTGAATGCTGGGAGTGGTGTTATGCGGAAGAGAATCATGTTTCCATTGACTAAAACCCAAGCTCTACTCTCTCTCTCTCTCTCTCTCTCTCTCAATCGATAGGTTCAGTTCTGAGCTGGATTATGTCTCTCGCACCGCGGGCTCCCCTCCTTCCAGACTCCTTCTCGTTCACTCTTGGCTTTATCAAGGTCATCTCACCCAGACTCAGAGCTGCTCTCATCTGCTGTGTAGCAACAGCGCCTCCGTCTGGACAAACGCAGGTATTCAACATATGAGCTTGTTCCATGTGACTTTTTTTTTTCTGTATGTTTCACAGTGAATTTGTTTTTTTACGTTTTGTCTTGAGTGGTCTGACATTTATTTTGTGATTTTTTTTATGTTCATTTCTGTACCAAAAACACATTTTCTTTTTGCTTGTGTGTCTTTTTGTTGGACAAAACATGAATATAAGTGACTCTTAAGGACAGAAAAATATACTGTAAAAAAAAAATATTATTAACCCTAAGGCCAGAAACATATACTATAAAAAAAAAATTAAAAACAAATTATTTTTTTTTTGGACAAAACATAAATATAAGTGACTCTTAAGGACAGAAACATATACTGTAAAAAAAAAAAATATTTTTCTTTTGGACAAAACATAAATATAAGTGACTCTTAAGGACAGAAAAATATACTGTATAAAAAAATCTTTATTTATTTTATTTTATGTATTTATTATTAAATTTTTTTTGGGGGGGGTAAAAACATGAATATTATTAACCCTAAGGCCAGAAACATATACTGTAGAAAATCATTTTTGAAGATTATTGACAAGAAAATACTATTTCAGTCTTTTTGCTTACATTTTTGTAATGCAATATGCTTCTTGCTGTTTCCTAATAATTATTTCTGAAATTTACCAACAATTTCAGAGTGAAAATTGTTTCAAAGTAAATCCTACACCAAATTTTTTAAGCTATAAAAAAAATAAAAATCAGTAACACTATAATAATAAAAACAACAACCATTCATCTTTATTTCAAGCAAAAAAATAATAATAAATAAATGCCAAAAATAAAATTTTTCTCAAATGGTCTAACAATTATTTATAATTATTTTTCTTGATTTATCATTTATTTGTTGGGTATTACATGAATATAAATGACTTTAAGTCCAGAAATATACACTTGTTACAAAAAAAAATGTTGTAAAGAAAAGAAAATACAATTTTGTTTGATAAATATGCTATATAAAAATAAATAAAAACTATGCTACATATTGACAGCAATATAGATTTTCTCAAATGTTCTGACACTTATTTTGTGGTTTTATGTTCATCAGGGTTATTATAGTTCACTAAAACCATAAAACAAATTTTCTTACTTGAAATAAAACACTTTAACTGAAATAAAATTCAATATATTTTTTTATTATTTCAGCTATTTGCCAATGCATCATTTCTCATTTTCATTTAGTTTATCATGAAGCACTAAAATAACTAAACTAAAAATAAAAAAAAGAAAATGTAAGAAACATTACAAAAACACACAACAAAATTAGAAAAATAAAATATACAAATAAAATATAATGAATACAAATAAATTGAAAATATTATTAAAAACTATTATTATTAATATTAATATTTTTTAAATAGGATTAAAACCTAGTATCTCAATGATACTGAATAACCCTGATATTAATTTCTGCTCCAAGTAGATGAGCATGTTCCACCCTTAATAATAATACAATGGTACTACTTTGGTGCATACAGTATGCTAAAAAAAAAAATAGTCCCATGGTAGTGCCATAATACATATCCAAATATAACAATATGTAGTAGATACTTTTATTAGTAAAAGCTGCATTATTCGTCTGTGGCCAGAAGGACTGAAGGAGCATCAGCATGACACTTCAGAGATTCAGCAGACAAATAGAGTCGTTTCTAGCTGCTCAGAGGCAAGATTTCTGCCATAGCTCTGTCAGAATGATGACAGGTGCAACAAACCATCCCATTATCAGCTACAATCAGAAAACACTGAGAACAGGGATTCACAGCAAACCTGTCAAACTCGACTGTCTGAGAATGTGTAATGGTTTGTAAACTCTCCGTAAAGACAGGAATGAATGACACCAAATACAGAAAAGTCCACTAATATGCAAACACAGACCGAAAACAATAAGAAGTAAGACTTTTCAAACTAGATTAGCTAATGAAATAATATACAATAAAAACTGAAAATAAAAATACAGTTTGAAGAGAATCTTGCACCGTGTATTAGTAATAGTAGTGCTATTATTTTAGGCAATAAACAATAAAAATACACGCAACAACTATAATAAGCTATAAATATATTAAATAAAAATACATATAAAATACTATATAATGATGACAGCAACCACAACATTTATATTAATTATTTAATAATTAATTTGATAAAATTACAAAAATTGTTATTGTTGTTATTTACTATTATTATTATTATGAGCTATAAACATTCAAATATGCTATAATAAAAATAACAATTATTATTAATATTAATATTTTAAGTTAAAACATACATTTAAAAATTATATGACTATATCATCAACAATAGAAATAATATAAATTATTTTTAATGTTAAAGCACATTTTTCATTTCATAACAAAATAATAATTTATTATTATTGTTGTTGCTGCTGCTGTTTTATTGTTGTATTATTATTTTAAATTAAAAATATGCAAAGACATCAACAGCAAACAGCAAAATATAAATTATTTTGTGTTGTTATTATAAAAAAAATCATTTTATAAAATTATTATCATTATTATTATTGTTATTATTTTAAGCTATGAACAATAAAAATGCACTATAATGAAATAATAGCGACAATAATATGCTAAAAATGCTAAATAAAATATATAAAATGACAACAACTTCATTAATAATAATATTTGTTACTGTTACTGTTAGTAGTAGTAGTAGTAGTAAAGCTATAAACAATAAAATTATGCTATAATAACAATGACATTTGAAGTCAACTTTAGCGCCCCCTGGAGTACTGAGGTTTAATACACAAGCATGCACATGTACACTAAGTATACAACATGATAGTGTACTTGCGATGCACTGGACAAGTGCTGTACATGTGTAGAGTGGAGTCCAATGAAAAGCTAAATGATGTTTTTTACTAGAAGGACGCTATGATCGGATCTAAGCGAAAATTAAACAATAAAAAGACACATATGCCATAAATCTTATTGAGCAAACGAGATTGTTTCATCAAGATGGAACTCAGAGCAGATGGAAAGAGCTGCAGAACGGCATTTAATCAGCGCTTTAGCACCGGCGTGTCGCCCAAGCAGCTGTTTCTGAAGAGCCGCACTCTCTCTTTGAGGGTAAATGTGCGTTTACAGACACTAAAGCTGACAGACACCCGTCTCCATCTGTCTGTCAGACACTGAAACACAGACACACAGCAGAGACAAACACATCTCTGCACCGGCTGAACCTGAGCAAAGCTGGGTTTCATTGTGCTTTTCAAATGCATCATTATATAGGAGCAGTATAATAGTGATGTAATGTACAATAACGTACAGATTAACCATACTGAACATGTTATTATCATTAACTATAACTAAACTATTAAACATATTTATGTAAATAGAAAAAAAACTCAAATAGAAATAAAATAAAATGTAAAAAAAGTCAAATTATTTACTATTTTACTATTTTATTTTAGTTTGTTGCAGTCAACATTTGGAATTTTCATTTAAATTTGAAGTATTAAAATAACTAACAGAAAATCATACAAATTGATACAAATTAGAAATTAATTAATTAGAAAATATTTTTAAAAAATAGAAAAATATGCATATTTTTACATTAACTTAAATTTGAAAATTAAAGTTTTAGTAATTAGTAATTTAGTCAAGTTTTAGTTGAATTCAAGTTTTAATTTAATTTAAATTTGAAGTATTAAAATAACTGAAACTGAAAACATCAAACTAAAATTTATACCAAAAAATAAATAGACATATTTTTAAAATTACTCAAATTAAAAAGAAAACAGAAAATGTAAAAATAAAAAATTAATTCAAAATATTAATAAAAATATACTACTATATTAACAATGCTAAAAAAGCACTGCTATCCATGTGTTTTTATGCACATTTTTGGGATTTATGGTTTGAAAGATACACATAAGAAATGCATATGTTTACTTGAGGTAGATACAATTATTTTGTAACAAGATATGCACATCTAATTTTGTTTAGTTAAAGTTGAAGTACTAAAATAACTCAAACTGAAAATAACTAAATCTGAAATAAAATTAATAAAAATATAGACAGATTTTAAAAATTACTACAACTTTAAAATTGTAAAACCAATTCCTAATATTAATAAAAACTCTGTTAGCAATACTAAAATAGCTATCCATGTATTTTTTATGCAAATTTTGGAATATATGGTGAGAAATATGTGCATTAAAAATGCATTTTTACTTGAAGAGAAAGTACTAAAATAACCAAAAATAAAACAGACAAATAAAAAAAAATCAAAATGTAAAAATTCAAAATTAAAAGAAAATGGAAAACAAAAAACTCAAAGTATTAATAAAAACTATGGTACTATATTTACATCACTAAAATGGTGTTGTATTTTCATGTATTTTTATGCACATTTTGGCACATATGGTTGAATAGACGTGAATAAAATGTGCAAGAAATGCATATGTTTACTTGAGATGGATACATTTATTTGATAAAAATAAAATGCACATCAAATGAAAGCACATTTAGCAAATAAATGTATAGATGTGCATTTAAAAAGTCATGTGAAAGTTTCCCAGAAGTGATGATTTTGTTCTCTTGAACACACGGGACGGAAACGTTGCTTTACTGACAAACTGTACTCTTGTGGTATTTTGCATACATTTAAATTGCAAATAGCTTTTGTTCTCCCTCACACACACACACACACACACACACACGCTCATCTAAACCCCTCCCTCTTTTCCTCGCAGCACACGGTGTGTTTCATCCAGCTGTGTGTGCAGTTGTTCTCAACATCTGTTCCCTTGGCATCCTTCAGCTGTGAGGTTGCTGGAGAACATGTGGAGAGACGAGCTGGGAATACAGCGGATCTCAGCAGACACACAGAAAACACTCGCGGCTCGTCTCACTTCCCAAATCTAGTGAGCCACCTTCCTGGCCAGCATGCAAAGGCATCATGTGTGCACTTCCAGTTAGCAGTCCCAGAATGCAGTGCGATGAGCTCAGACGTGGCACCCTTTTCAAGGCGTTTCAGACCACTTATATAAAGATTACATGAAATAATACGATAAAATAATTATAATTATTATAAGCTATAAGCAATAACAATACACTATAATAATAATAATAATAATAATAACAATAATTATTTTAAGCAAAAAAAACTAAATAAAAGAATGACAACAGTATTAACTGTTGTTGTTATTATAGCATATTTTTATCGCTTATAAAAATAAAAATAATTATATAACTTATAATTAAATAACAATAAATAAAAAATAATTATTATTTTTATTTAAAAACACTATATAAAAATAATAAAAAATATGCTATATAATGACAAACAACAATAATAATAGTTGTTATTATTATAGCACATTGTTTTTATAGTTTAAAAAATATAATAAAAGCTTTATAATTATTTTATGATTGATGATAATAACTGTTATTGAGTAATGTTTATATTTTTTCTATTTTCTGTTATTTTTATATTAAATATATACTAATAATATATAACTATTTCTAATTATTTAATAAAGATAATAGTTATTATTGTTATTATTATTATTGAGTATAACTAAATTAGATTTTTTTTTATAACTAATAATAATCATTATTATTATTATTATTATTATTATCATTATCATTAAGCTATAAATAGTACTGAATCGCAATAACCTGTTTTTATAATCAAGCACAAATCTCAAGCACACAGCAGTGTGTTATCGGCCCTCACGGCACTTCACACGTCTCTGCTCTCTAGTCAGTCCTGGTTAAGCTGAACTAACATGAAAACCTCGCCAGCTCTAGGAAATGATCCTGGGGAAGCATTTATGAACAATACCTGATACACGATATCTCGGCATTATATTTCATTCCCAGAATGCCGCAGGAGGAGCTTCAGAAGACAAGACTAATCAGTGTCAGCTAAAAACAGTGGAACATCTTAGCATTACATACTGTATATACAGTATATAGTATGAATACTGACCAAAATTTCCGCACACACGGAATACCAGGTGACCTGTTACATATATAAAATAATGAAACCCACAATGCAATGTGATGAGCTTTTCACAGCCAGGCATTTAAACCACTTATATAAAGATTACATGAAATAAAGATGAATTGTTGTTGTTGTTTAAACTATAAACAATATGCCATAACAACAACAATTATTATTATTATTATTATTATTACGCTTCTATTATTTTAAGCTAAAAATGTGCTAAATAAAAAATAAAATAATAATTAAAATAAAATAATGGTTGTTAGTTGTTATTATTATTTTAAGCTAAATAATAATGTTAATAATATATTTTTAAAATATAAGTAATACACTATGACAACAATTATTACAATTATTATTATTATTACTACTATTACTACAGTTAGTATTATTTTGAGCTAAAATATTATAGTGTATTAAAGCTATAAACAATACACTATAATAATAATTATTATTATAATTGTTGTTATTTTAAGCTAAAATACATTTTACAAATTATAAAAAATAAAGTAATATTTTTTACATTTTTTTTATAGATTATAAAAATAAGAATAGTATTTGTCTTGACAAATGAATGACCATTTTCATAATTCAATTGCAAAACAACTGTATCTGTACATCCATGATGATCACCAAGCATTGAGGTTGATATTTCTTCATCGGATTGGAAATGGGGGTCTATTGCATTGTGGGATACAGTATTTTGCACAGTGTGCTCTAATTACATGCAGTACATTTTATACAAACTGTCCACAGTATACAGTACATACTATATATTGCAGAAATACAATATATTGCATTGTGGGATACAGTATTTTGCACAGTGTGCTCTAATTATATGCAGTACATTTTATACAAACTGTCCACAGTATACAGTACATACTATATATTGCAGAAATACAATGGTACTATGCTATTCTGCATACAGCCTTACTGTTGCATATAATAAAAAAATAAATAAAAGTAGGCACTAGAATGTAAACAGCGCAGTATTAATTAGTAAGCTAGTGTTTTATTGTGTATTTTAAGCACTGAACAACAGTATCCTGCAAAGTCTGTATTACTAATAATGTAAATATGATTTGTTTCCGTAAGACTTGACAAGAACCTGAAATCATTGTATTCTCATATTGTCACGCCCCTGGACTTATTGTGTTGTGTTTTCCCTCCCCAGGTGTGCTGTGTCTCAGTTAATTAGTCATTCCATGCACCTGTGTTCCCCTCATTGCCCAGTGTTTATTAGCCCCAGTCTGTGCTGTCTGAGATACACGTCAACCCTTGTGTTTCCTGTGCTCCTGTCTACCCCGAGTATTCCCGTGGATTTTGAATTAAAAGACTTCCGTGAGTTGAAAACCTTGTCTCCTCGTTCCTCGCTCCGCGCCATAGGTGAACCGTGACACATATCAGCCCATACATTTATACATGAATGTAAATGAGAGGCATTTAAACCGTAATAACCCAGTGTAAGGATTTCAGTTGCTTTGCAACATCACCGAAAAAACATAACGTCATGACACAGAGCCTGACGATTTCTGCTCCGTCGCCAAACAGACCTCGTTTTGAGTCAGCGGGTTTGCAGTAACCATCATTTTTATGTGCATTATGTTAGGTTTTATTATTTATATGTAAGCAGATACTATGTGATGCTGCATAACATGATCCGCAATGTTTTTAGCACCAGACTCCGAGTAATATCAGACAGAGTTGGCTGGTCATCCATTCACCCTTGCATGACAGTCATATGACTTCAATTTGAAATATTTTTCATTGCATAATGCATTCTGTTTGACATACTATTTTTAAGGAATAGTTCACTCAAAATGAAAATCTGCTAAAATGTGCTCACCCTCAGGCCATCCAAGACAAGATTAGGATGAGTTTGTTTCTTCATCAGATTTGGAGAAATGTAGCATTGCATCAGTGTCTCAGCAATGGATGCTCTGCAGTGAATGGGTGCCGTCAGAATGAGAGTCCTAACAGCTGATAAAAACATCACAATAATCCACAAGTAATCCACAGCACTCCAGTCCATCAGTTAACATCTGGAGAAGACAAAAGCTGAAACAAATCCATAATCCATAATAGCGCGCTTCCTCCAGAGAAAAGTGGTCTGGTCTGAATCAGGAGAGAAATCTGCACAGATCAAACAAGCCAAAACAGTCCAAATATATAGAAATACATGAGACTTGTTGTTTTAATGGCTGCATGTGTGCGACACAAGATGGAAAGAAAGTGCCAGCAGTTGGTGAAAAAAAAAAGTTAAAAAAAATGTATGATGTCAAAAATGTGTTAATTTAATATATTACACATGTTTAATGAAATATGCTTTTAACATTTACTTAACATTATTACTCTTTCATCTTGCTTTTGGTTACACGGTATGAAGTTTAAAATAAGAAATAAGGTCACAGATGCCTTTTTATTTTTTTCTCTCATCACGTCACGAAACAAAGTTCATATTCGTATCGGAAACGGCTTAATATCCATGCTTTAATCCTTCGCCATATTAGTATTCCCATTTAGCAAAACTAGACATATTGGTAACACTTCACTTGAAGGGGTGTGCATATTCATAATCATGACATGACACGTCATGAATATGAAGGAGGTTTTATGCATGTTTATGACAACTGTCATTAAGTGTCATTCGCTCAGTTATGTCATTTTTAATGCAAATATGACATTATTTGACCTAACCCTAACCTAACCCTACCCCTACCCTTACCCCTAACCATAGCCCATAACAAAGACATCTCAAACAATGTCATCTTTGCATTAAAAATTACATAACTGAGCGAATGACACTTAATGACAGTTGTCATAAACATGCATAAAAAACCTTCATATTCATGACATGTGTCATGTCATCATTATGTAGGTGTCATGTCAGTCTTATGCACACCCCTTCAAGTAAAGTGTAACCGACATATTTTAAGTGTTCGGGAAGGTGTTCCAGGCGGGTTTACATGTAAAAACAGCTTACAATCACTGTTGAAGAGAGACTGTAAGAGGAGACAACAAGCACACACCCTCTCAGTGTTTACAAAGGGTGTGAGAAACATCATGATCTGCTGTTACAGAAAAGATTAAGTGCTGTTGAGAGGCTTCAGTTAGTGTTTTAAAACTGAATGACAAATGGCTCTAGAAAACGAGGAAGTGAAGGTCCTGCCTGTGTGCGGGTTTCTGTAAAGCCTTACTGCATAAATATGTAGGCTAATAGATCTAATTTGGTGCTATAGCGTTCTTGCAGTGTCCGGGATGGTAGGTTTATTAATATTTATAAAACGGTGTTTATTCAACAATTTCGTTGAAGCCGCTTTAATTAATATTCATGAGAAGGAATAGCGGAAGTGGCTGTTAAGCCCCTCCCCGCAGGTATAAAGGCACCTGTCGGCAGTCAGCTGAGCACAGACTCACCTGAGGAGCAGCAGATGGAGTCCGGGCAGCTTTCAGGTAATTCAACTATGTAACTTATGGAACTGAAGGAAAGAGGAATAGAGTATCTGTAATGCTTCTCGTTATTTGTTTGTAGACAAACAAATGTTTTTTTAACAATAGATTGGATGAAATAATTTACATCTGGAAAGTTAGAAGTTCATTTGACAGTTGCACACCAGTAAAAACAGCTGTTCAGTGACAATATATATAATTAATGATATTTGTAGATTTTAATATAATATTTTTTTAAACTGCATGTGTGCAGCTGCAGAAGAACGCAGGAATGAATTGGAGGAAGGGGGCGTGGCCTGTTCCGTGATAGTGTGTGACATCAAACCAAAAGTTCCAGGTGTGAAGGATAGAAAGGTAGGAAAGTTTAATCAAGCTTAGTACTTAGTACTAGATGGTTCACACTGATGTAAATTTCCCTTTCCCTTTTCCATTCACTGTGAAAGGATATTGATGCACTTTTCTTCCTCTCCAGAACGACCCCTGGTCATGTGACAGCTCTGCATCTTCCTCCGACAGTGAGGACGATGATAAAAACAAGAAGAAGAAGAAGAAAAAGCTGAAGAAGAAAAGAAGCAAGGTACTTAAATTGCGAAACAAGAAAGGGCCCAGTAGTGAACCCTGCGGCATCCCGCTCATTCCACCTGCTTGATTAGAGCTTAATGAGCACATACTTCTTCTGCATATTATTATCTGAGGAGGAACTGCATAGATGTTGGCAAAGTGCTTTTGTTCCTGTTTTGTTTGTCACTTTGGATAAAAGCATGTGTCAATGTAAATGATATTTGACATGGACACAGGAATGTTTTATTACATGCTTAATCCCAGAATAATACATGCATCTGAGAACAAAGTAGAGATGAAAAGCATGATTATTAGACCATTTTCTGAGGCTTTCTGAATGCATGTCCTCACAAGTGTTTTTCAACATTTGAAGAAAATAATTCCCTTCTTACGCAATTAGAGAAAAGGCCTGAGGGCAGAACAAACACACACACCCACAGAAAAATATGACAAGCATCAATAACAAGTTCTAGCAGGTTTGTATCCGGGTTGTCCAATAACTGTCACTTCCTCACACAGAAGTTCAGCTCATCTTCCTCATCATCATCATCATCATCATCATCATCATCTTCCTCCTCTTCATCCTCAGAAAGTGACAGCAGTGAGGTGAGCAAATTAATAAGTTTAACTGGTTGCATGATATTTTGCAGAGTGGCAACTAGTGCATGTGACAAACTTAAAGTATGGTTTTACTGTCCTGTGATTTACTATAGTAAGTGCAAATCTCAGGCTTAAAATGCTTAGGAAATCTGTATTTCTCACATGTACTAAGGAGCTGAAAGTGCTACAATCTGCTGTGTTTTAGTGTAGAGATTTGTATTCTCTGATGTGAAACATAACCCAGAAGGCAGTCGTGGCCTAATGGTTAGAGAGTTGGACTTGTAAACAAAAGGTTGTGGGTTCGAGTTTCAGTACCAGCAGGGATTTGTGCTGCAGCAAAAATGGCTGCCCACTGCTCCGGGTGTGTTTTATTTTAGTGGATAGGGATGTGGATTTATTTTACTTTAGAGGATGGGATAGAGATTTATTTTCATTTCATTTTATTTCATTATTATTTATTTTTATTTTTATTTTTATTTTAGTAGATGGGGATGGGGATGGGGTTTATTTTTATTTATTTTATTTTATTTTATTTTAGAGGCTTTCATCCTCAGAAAGTGACAGCGGTGAGGTGAGCAAATTAATAAGTTTAACTGGTTGCATGATATTTTGCAGAGTGGCAACTAGTGCATGTGACAAACTTAAAGTATGGTTTTACTGTCCTGTGATTTACTATAGTAAGTGCAAATCTCAGGCTTAAAATGCTTAGGAAATCTGTATTTCTCACATGTACTAAGGAGCTGAAAGTGCTACAATCTGCTGTGTTTTAGTGTAGAGATTTGTATTCTCTGATGTGAAACATAACCCAGAAGGCAGTCGTGGCCTAATGGTTAGAGAGTTGGACTTGTAAACAAAAGGTTGTGGGTTCGAGTTTCAGTACCAGCAGGGATTTGTGCTGCAGCAAAAATGGCTGCCCACTGCTCCGGGTGTGTGTTCGCGGTGTGCGTGTGTTCACTACTCACTGCTGTGTGTGTGCAGTTGGATAGGTTAAATGCAGAGCACAAATTCTGAGTATGGGACGTCACATTCTTTTCACTTTTCACTTCAGAATGCACCTGTGCTCTGTAACTAATCAGAGCCAATCAGAGCGACAGATTTCACCAAATCAGCTTTAGGATTCATAAACACACACACACAAACACATAATACATCACCTGTGGTTATGAAGGGAAGTTCAACTTTGCCAAAATTGTTGTTTGAAAGAAACATTAGAGGAATACAGTGTTCAGCTGGTTACTAGATTGATTTGCATTCTTTTGATGATTTGTAAAAATCTGCTTATGTAGCTCCAAATTGGAACTGACTTTTGTTCTTATGTGTAAAACAAATGGATTTGCTTAGCAGAATATTTGTGCTGCTCTTTTCCATGCAGTGAAAATTGTATTTCATTTTATTTTTGTAGATGGGGTTGGGGTGAATTTTTTATTTTAAGCTTTATTTTATTTTATTTTATTTTATTTTGTTTTGTTTTGTTTTATTTTGTTTTAATTTATTTTATTTTAGAGGGTAGAAATTTATTTTATTGGATAAGGATAGTAATTTTATTTATTTTTAGTGGATGAGGATGAGGATTTATTTTATTTTATTTTAGTGGATAGAGATTTGTTTTGTTGGATAGGGATTTATGTTCATTTTAGTTTATTTCATTTTATTTTATTTTGAGCTGGACAACCACTCATCATTGTATACTTTTGTCGAGTGGAACAACTCATTCTGCTAAACATCTTGCATTCAGCTGAAGAAAGAAAGTCATATGGGTTTGGAACAGCATGTGTAAATGAAGACAGAGCTGAACTTTAAATACAGGCTGTGTTTATTTACCACTGTTTTCCTGCAGAGGAAGGAAAGTAGTCTGAGTCATGGTGTGATGAACAACAGTCACGGCTCGCCTTGTGTAAAACAGGATTTGTAGAGTGTGTCTCATGGCTGCTGTCCTAATTATGAAATATGTGTGTTTACCACAAAATAACAACATTTACATCTTCTTCGTGACTTATCTGGGTCACGCTTCCAAATTTACTTACTCACGCATTCTCCTCAACAGGATGAAAAGAAGAAAAAAAAGAAAATGAAAATCAGCGAAACGGCAGAGCTGGGGATTCTAGCAGAAACAGGTAAGACAGATCAGAGGACAGGTGTTTCAGTTTGTGTGTGTGTGTGTGTCTGTGTGTGTGTGTC